AAACGATGATAATTTTTCTAATTTCATAGACAACAGAAGACTGTATTTTTTCTACATAACCCCCCCCCCTGAATTTAAAGCTGGATCCGCCCCTGGTATTAGTGAGGGTGTCACAAAAGAACTTTTCCCATTCTTTAACAGCGAACAAATCCCATAGTGTGTGAACATCCTTAACACTCAAGATCAACATGTTTGTTCACTTGAAAACTGCCCCCTCTCATTGCAGACTTTCAAATAATTTGAGTGTGCGCTTTGTGTTTATTTGTTTATTGCAAAAGAATTGTTAAAGGCGATTTTCTGGTCAGTTCAACCACTGATATGGAGTGCGTAAAAATCGGTCTCCTGGTTCTTCTGGCGCTGTTTGCTGGCCAAACCGAGTCAGCTACTGATACCAAAGTGGTATGCTACTATGATAGTCAAGCGTACAATCGACCAGGTAAGTTTCCGCAACGTAAAAATGTGAGAAACGTTTTAAAGTGTGCTTGATCCGCCCGTGCCGGTGAAAGTAGGAGCTAATTTAAATAAATCTCATTCAAAACTAGAAAATAGTCAATTAAGTTAAGAAATGTTTGCGTTAATTTCGTTGCGTCGCCCTGTAGTTGAAGAACCAGAAATATTTTCGGAAACCTGTTTCGTTGAGAACTTTCTCCACGGAAAGAGTTAGCGTCCCCCGTCTTTGTTGCAAGCTAAATTTTCAAAATTTCGGCTCAAAATGCACATGGTTATCAGAGCGGTGATGACCCGTTCACCTCCCAATGTGTTTAACTAGAGCTTCGACGAATTGATAAATTGCTGATTAAGTGGAACTATTGTTGGATCATTACGTACTCCCTTCATTTTTATTCGTCTATCGTCCAAATGGCTGATGGAGGAATTACCGGAAATATTTAGCATTCGAAGCGCGCAAAAAAACTCGTCTGCTCAACGCCAACCATTTGGCCGATGATCCACTCAAAAAACTGATCAGGCATATGGAGAAAAATTAGCGTGTTCCATTATACATGAGCAATAAATTGCAAGTGCTTGATTTCAGGAATAACAACACCTTGTTTAGCCGATAGACCTCATTGTCTTGGTGGAACTTCTTAGAAATGGCCATGATCCAATTGAAGGTCGCACGTACGTCAACTAGATGAATCAGTGCTTTTATGCTAACGAGAAGCGTTAAAAATTAGCACTCATTAACAGAAGCGATTTAATTTAGCCACTAAAACAACGCCTGTTTTATGCAACAATCCCTGTAGCGCTTGAGTAATAGAAACAGGGGCGGATCCAGCTTTAAAGTCAGGGGGGGGTATGTAGAAAAAATACAGTCTTCTCTTGTTTATGAACTTAGAAAAATGATCGCCGTTTTGTGCAAGGGTGGCGCAAAATGATTGCAAAATTTAATGTTTCCGTCCCGTTTTGCATGTTTCTCGGAAGCAAAATGAGCAAGAACGCTCGTTTTTACATCATTCCAGAGATAACTAAATGGCCTTT